CTTATCACCCGCGGCTGATCTTCCTCGAACACGAAATGATCGTCCACATCTCCGTCCATATTCCAATACTTGAACCTGCTCATGTCCACCTGCCTCGCACCTCGACGAAGAGCTCCAACGATCGCCGACCCCTCAACCGACACAGACGCCACCAACACCGCTGCCAACAAACCTGACAACAGCAAAAACATAAAAAACACTGCATTTTTTTTTCTTTTTTTGAAAAACACCAAACGCGAAAAACCAAAAATCCCCAAAAAAAATAAATAAATAAATAACAATAGCACTTACATAACGTCAATTGGATATTCATAACTGGATTATTCGCTGCTGCACGTAACTTATCAGAGAAGATCACTCAAAAACTTTCGCCGAATCTCAACCCTCTTCTCTCGTTGCCGAAGAAGACCTCTTATTGTTATTGTTGCTATGGGCACCAGGTCGAGGGTATATATAACGCGGCAACGCGGTCGGAAACCGCAGGCGGCGTCCGTCATTTGCCGGGAGGAAAAAAAAGTGAATGAAGGAAAGTCGCGCAATAAAACAAAAGCAGAAAACCGCTCGATTCTCTCTCGCTCGTCACGAACACGCCAACACACATGTCTACAAAAATTAACATTTTGTAGAGAGGAAAAAGGAAGAAAAGATGTAACGGAGAAGAACAAGGAAAGAAGGATCTCCGACACACACATACTTACGTCCTTCAAATTTCTTCGAAAAACTCCCAATTAATCACGACCGAATTATATTAATAGACGTTTACTTTATTATTTTTGATTCGAGTTGTGCTTAGATTACCATTAATTAACAATAATAGGTTCATGGGCTGCAATTGCCGTTTTGTTTTTCCTTTTGCGGTGGAATCTCCACTCACTACCTTCTCCTCCTCGACCCGCAGGTACCGTTGAAGAGCATCGTCACATCTGCGAAACAAAAAACATAACAACATGACATAACAATAAACAAACGAACAAACAAATACTGGGGACAATGCGATTTGCATTTGTTCGGAATTGCGTTCGCACATCCAGTGAGCGTGGAAAATTGCGATCTTTCACTTTTCAATGTGCGTTCGCCGTTAGAATACGATACTTTACAAATACGATACGAGTAAACATATCTAATTTACAGATAAGCGACATCTAAATTTGAGATGATTGAATGGGAAAAACTGCAAAAAAATGTTAAATTTTCCAAAATAGGTTCAGATTGAATAAATGAATAAACAATATCGACTTTGAAAATGATGAGTTTTTTTTTTGTGTGTGTAAAGTTCAAAAATGAAATATCAAATATAGGGTATTTCCAATACTTTTGTCCTTCTACATTTTTAATTATGACCCTAAATCAGTAGTCGGAATGCGTCAAGTCAATGTTATTTAGTTGACTTTAAATAAATACACAGAAAAAAAAATAATTATTACTCATGCGAGAGGAACGAAAAATGGTAATTTTCAATGGCGATTTTCTGGAAACATTCTTCAATTATCACATCGATCTAAACTAAAACTACATTTCGAAAAATTAATGTCATTCGTATCGTCGATCTTTGAGCCTTTATCTAATCACGACGAAGAGAAGAAATTCTTTCTCGACTCCGTTTCTTTCCTCCATCATCATCATTCATCTTCTCTTCTCCCTATCAAATCTCAATTGGGAACAAGTACATTCGTGTGCTTGTTCTTAAAATAGACGCGATTCCATTTATCGCACCACATTTCTCCGTACTTCTATTTATAAACGAAAAACGCACATTTCTTTCACAATTCAATTCCCGTTAATTCCGTATGAATAATTACAACGAAAACAAATAATTGATGATTAAGTTCACTTGTATTTCCGGATACAGTTAAATACGTTCAAATAGATCAGGAACGTACGAAGACGGACTTTCCGAAATTACAACTAATCCGTTATTATTATTATTATTATATGAATGATTCAAAGGCCGAAACCGTAATAATGCAAATATGCGTGTCATTCGATCTACATATTTTTTTTTTGTTTTCACGGAATTCGGAATAATTAATCAGCTTCAAATCCGTCTATTAATAAACGAACTATCGCGGAAAAACAAAACGCGAACGTGAAAAGTGTCATGGCAACATAATAATAACACCCCTCTCTCTCTCACTGATCGTCCTTGATAGTGACATTTACATTTACACACTAGATCGTGTGTAGTAGTAATCGTGCATCATCATCATCATCATCATATGTTTCCGATACAGTTTAAATTGAGGTGGCGGAAGAGGAGCGCGATCAGTTCGCATCAGTTGATCGAGAAACGAATATTATTAATCTAAACCACTTTGGTCGTATTCTTTACTTTCTCAAGACCCGAACCAAAGAGGGGCCACCAATTCGATTCATTTATTTATTGGGTTTTTCCTCGCCTGATTCTTATCAAATCGCGATTCCCGGTAACATCAGGATTTTCATTATCATTGAAAAATTGAATTTTCTTGAATTATATCCATATTCACTATTCTCTTCCCAGTGTTTTCGATGTGATAATGAGGATGATACTGACCTGAGCCGCATCTTCGGGCGCAATTCAGACGACCTATGTTATCGTAGGTGACGCGATTAGAGCCGCAGACCGGATTGTATTGAGGGGTGCTCGCACACGAACTCAGGCATCGCGTGTACGCTGGGGATGGCGTCGTCGTGGTGGTGCCTCCTGCTGCACCTCCGTCTCCTCCTCCTTGGACGGGGGTCGTCGGTGCGACGGTTGTAGTCGTCGTCGTCGTCGTCGTGGTTCTCGAAGGCCTCGTCGGACGGTTGACGCTGCTGCCTCCCTCGCCCCAGTTCCAACCCTGTCTCTTGACTCGGCCCTGCAAACTGGCGGACCGCGTCGGATCGCAGATCGCCACCAAAACAACTGCGACAGAAAAACAATAACAATAAATAACAAATTGAAAAACAACAAAGTAAGTCAATACGCACCTAAGGCTAAGGCGATGCCGACTGTTAAACTCTTCATGTTGTTGTTCAGTATTAATCAGTTATTACACTCTTCTTGCTTGTAGATCGTTGTTATCACCGCCGCTGGCTGCTGCTGTTGCTGCTGCTGCTACTTCTGTTGCACACAGAATATATTTGAATACTAAGCACGAGGTCTTCTTTTATATTTCAGTTTGTCTTTTCCATTTCTTTTTCGTTTTCGCGTGTGTCTCTCTCGCGCCGCGTCTTTTGTCGTCGCGAAAGTACAAATTGATATGCAACCGGTTTCTCTACGTCTTTAACTCTATATCTCTCTCTGCCTCACTCTCTCTATCTATCTAGCAATCTATCTCTTTCCGACACAAGCATATCAATATGCACGCGAATACGAAGATCTGGAATTACCAGAGTTCGCGAAGAAGTGTACCAGTATAGATAACAAAGGTGTCGGTGAAGGAGAGAGGAGAAAATAAACAATCGAGAAATGCCACCGGATTACCCATCATTATTTCCCCATTCAGCAACAAAATGGGAAATTCTACAATGAGAAGGAGGAGAAGGAGGACTAAGAGGAGACATTTTTTATTCACGCATCGTCGAATGAACGTCCCAATCCGCTGCCGTTTTGTTTGTTTGGCTTTCGGCCGAGGTCACGCGATTCGCTTCAGGACTGTGGCCAATGCTAAACGCACACAAGAAACAAACAAAAAAAAACGCCTTTTTATCATTCCTCTCACTCTCTCTCTTTCACACAATTCATTTGAAGATCTTTAAAGTGAATACAAATTTAGAGACATATTCAAATTGAGAGATAGATAGAGATAGAGAGATAGTATGTTTGCATATTAGCATGTAGAGGACGAATCGTTTCATGGCCTCGATTAATACCAGAAACTTCTTGAAGACCTTTAACATCTACATACGTCAACATAATAGATTTTACGAGAAATTCCAAAGTATTTGACTTTCATTAGATCAATGTAATGTCAATACTAAATCCGCACTTTAAATTTACTTTTGCAAGAAACAAAGAAAAGAAAAAACAACATTTAAATACCTGTTTTTTGTTTTGTTTTCAATATTCGGCAGCGTCGAAACTGCGAAGAAAATCTAGACACACAAACAACATTCAAAATTGATTTTCAAATGAATAATCTGGTAAGAATGAACCGGTGGACTGCTTACTGCTTTAGTGAACTTGAATCTTGAATCTAGAAGGTAGGAGGTGTGTGTGTGGGAATGCAGTGACGGATCGAGGATGCCATGGAAATAACGATAAAGAAAATAATTAATAACAAATAAAAAATAATAACATTTGCCAAAGAAACAACAAACAAGCGA